TTAACCTCAAAAGAGCAAGTGGTGATCTTCCTCGTCCACAGTGTGTCCATCCTTTCCAATTCCGAGTCACTCTCTTTGGGAACATCTCATCATGGAAACGCCATCTCCAGCACCCAGCTCTAGATTTTGTTTGTTTCCACATTTTTTTTCTGCTCTGGGCTCTGGGTTTCTGGATGTTCTGAAGTGGAGAGCAAGTTTAAAGGACCTTGCAAAGTAGTCTGCATGACTCATCTAGATTTTGATAGCCCTTTCCCCCTAATTATTTATATATTTGTCTTGCCAACACCTAATTTGACAGCTGCTTTTTGTGACTCGTTTATTTTGTGGCTTCCAAAGCATTCAGCTGAATTTTCATAATGAACATTTCTCCTCGTTTGTGTACTTCTGATTTATCCATTAACGTAACATTTAATTAGATTACAAGCAATAATTACAATGACAATTGAACTGTCAAAAACACATCAGAAAACCAACAGAGCTGAATGACGTGCCACCAGCTGGTGTGGAGAGTGGGCAGGACCCAGCTGCTGGCTGCCCCTTCAAGAGAGTTCTTACTGTTGGTCAGGAGACGATTGGGAGAGGGGTCAGCTTGGATAGGTCTCATCGTAGCCTAAGGCAGTGTCCCTATGGAGCACACCTGTCTGAATTGGGGCACCTAAATGCTTTCTGGTCGGGAAGCCCCTTGCTGAGAGCTGTGACCCTAAAACCGTTTCTGGCCCCCAGCTATGATGAGCAGGATAGGCCCTCACTCAGGGCCCTGCTCCCAAGCAGGGACTTTTGGGTCTTTTAAAAATCAAGGACCAACACACCCACTGGGATAGAAATTATAAGCAAAAACAAAAACAAAAAAACCCAGACAGTAACAAGTGAGAGTGTGGAGAAACAAGAACCCTCATGCACCGCTGGTGGAAATTCAAAATGGCGCAGACACTGGGGAAAACAACTTGGTGGTTAAGCAGAGAATCATCACATGACCTAGCAATTCCACTCCCCGGTGTGCATCCAAAAGAATTGAAAACAGGCGTCCAAACAAAAATTCATACATGCTCATAGCAATACTGTGCAGGACGACTTGAAATACATCGAAAGATCCCAAGTGTCCACCATCCGTTGAATAGATAAAGTATGGTCCAGCCACACAGTGGGAAGTCCTCAGCTGTGAAAAGGAGAAGTGGGTAGATACATGCTATAATGTGGGTGAACTTTGAAAATATCATGGTAAGGGGCTGGGGTTGTGGCTCAGTGGTAGAGCACTCGCCTAGCACATGGGGAGTGCTGGGTTCGATCCTCAGCACCACATAAAAGTAAAATAAAGGTATTGTGTCCAACAACAACTAAAAACCAAAATATATGTATATATTTTTTAAATTTTTTTTAGTCGTTGAACTTTTTATTTATTTATTTATATGTGGTGCTGAGAATCGAACCCAGTGCCTCACACATGCTAGACAAGTGCTCTACCACTGAGCTACGACCCCAGCCCCAAAACAAAATATTTTCTTAAAATATTATGGTAAGTGAAAAAGGCCAGACAAAAGGACAAATACCAAATGGTTGACTCCACTTATCTGGAATATAAGAGCAAATCTATAGAGATCAGATTCATGGGGGCCAGGGCCTGGGGGAGGAGGATTGGGGAGTGACTGCTAATGGGGTTTCCGTTTGGGGAAACAAATGCACAACATTGTGAGTATATTTTTATTGTTATATAACAACTGAACAGATTTATGGGGTGCAAATGGATTTAATGCCACTGGATTTTATACTTTAACATAGCTAAAATAGTAAGTTTTACAACTTGTGCTTTATCACACCCCAAACAACAAAAACAAGAACCGGCTCATCCCCTGGGCTGGCCCAGTCCTCAGGACAGGTCTCATTGTGGTTCCTCAGAATCCTATCAGGCCGGCATGTGTCCCCAAACTTGGGGGTTCAGCAAACTTGGGAACCAGCCTGGCACCTTGTCACATACTTGTAATCCTAGACTCTCAGGAGGCTAAAGCAGGAGGATGGCAAGTTTGAGGCCAGCCTGGGCAATTTAGTGAGGCCCTGTCTCAAAATAAAATAAACTAGGATGGGGATGTAGCTCAGTGGTAGAGTAGCTCTGGGTCCAATCCACAGTACAAAAGAGAGAGGGAGAGAGAAAGAGAAAGGAAGGATGGATGGAAGGAATGAGGGAAGGGAAGGAGAAAGAGAGGGGAAAAAAGGAAAGAAAGGAAGAGAGAAAGGAAACATGGGTACCCTCGACAGAGCTTGCTCCTGTCCTTCCTCCTTGATCTACCCTTAGACTCCTGGTGCCCCAGGCTCAAAGGATTCTCTGAAGGCTCCTTCCCTCCATGTCTCTTCCTGGGACCCAGCTTGCTGAAGGCGGTCCCTGCCTCAGTCACTGCTTCCCCAGAACCCCCACCCACCTACCCCAGCCCAGCCCATCAGCCCTGGGCTCGCCCTTCGGGGTGGCCACTTTGTGCCCTGATCATTACATTCACACGAGTGGCTGGTGCCCTTTGGGGCTGTGGTCCACTCTCCTGCTGTAATCCTGCTGTAAGACTTTGCAGACTCCTGATCCTGACCTTGATGACAGCCCCTGCACTGGCTGCTTTGCTCTCTCCCCTGTCCCCACCTCGGCCAGGACCTGAGCTCTCAGGGGGCTGCCTAGGGCAGACCAGTGGCAAAGTCTCTGCCTTCCATTTGGACCTAGGCAGCGTCTGGAACATTTATCTTCACCCACTCAGGGGCAGTAGGTATCCGCTTAGGCAGGCAGGGAAAGCACCCTGCTGCTTGGCCTCTCTTCTGCCCCGACCTGCTGGCCCAGGCATGAGCTGGAGGTGGTGCAGACCTGGGAAGGGACTGGCTTGCCATCTGCTCCCTCCCCCACCCCAGCAATGAAGGGGAGAGAAGCAGGAGCTCGGGCCTACCTACTATGATGCCCACCCTAGGTGGGTGCCCCAGCTAGTTTTCACCAGCCTCCTTGGGTCCCTGAGAGCCCCCATCCCTGTCCTCACCTGCCTTGGCCCAGTGCACAATGAAGCAGGGTGGCAGGGTTTTTTCCAGAACGACTTGGAGGGACAGAAGGGGCTGGGTGGCAGTCTGGAGTTTCATCCAAATGATGAACTCATTGGTGCTTCTGTCACCAAGAGCTTTGAGAAATGGACAGGGCCCAGGCCTCTCTTGACCCTGAGCCTGTCTGGCGGTATCTGCAGGGGTTGCTGGGCTAGAGGGAAAGGCAGGAGGCCATGTTGAGAGGTGGAGCTGGGATGACCTGGGGACACTGGGGGCACTTGAAGCCTGTGCTGTATAGGCTCCAGATCCTATGGCCAACTCATCTCTGAATGCTGTTTGTCTACAGATTGGAAAACAGAAAAATGTCCCTGGGGAAGGTACTGGAGGAGGCAGTGGGTCAGAGAGGGTAACCTTGCAAAGTGTCCTGTACCACTGTGCAGGCAGTGTGAAGCCACCTTGGGTTTTCATCCAGACATGCCACTGCTGGGTGCCCTGGGCAGGTCTCTTGACCTCTCTGGGCTTCACTTCTGCCACCTGTTAAATGGGGGATAATAGCATCTCCTTTGCAGGGCAATAGGAAGAATAGATGAGATTCATGTGTGTGACCGGATGCTCCAAAACACAGTGCTGCTCAGGATTGCTGGGGATGAGCTGTATAGAGCACCTGCTCTGTTTGGGCCCACTGGGCAGATGAGTTGGGAGCTGGGGCTGGATGAGATGACCATGAGACACCTCTGAGCTGGAGGCCAGCGGCTCCCTCACAGGGTTAGATGGCCTGGGGTGCAGAGAGGGCTGCCATGGCTTCTGGGGGCCTGGGCTACGTGGTTTGAAGCTCAGCATCATTTTAGAGAGTGGAGGGGTGGGAGGTGGGAGGAGGCGAGGAAGAGATGCCAGACACTCAGAGCCGGGATTGCTCCTGCCAGCTGGCCTCAGCTGCTGGACACTGGCTGGGCCAGCCGTGGCGGGTCACATCTTCATGTGGGACGTGTTTCAGATCAATCCAAAACCCTGTGGCCTCCTCAGCCCTCTGGCCCCAGACCTGCCTCGTCAGTCCTGGCCTCCCAGCCCAAGGCCCCCAGGACTCCAGTCACCTGAGGGCCAGAAGGAGCCCTGGACTTGGAGCCAGAAGGCTTCCATCTCAGGGGGTCACTAGGCCTCAATTTCTTCAGCTGCAAAATGGGCTGGTTCCTACCTCCCTGGCTAGTTGAAGACTAGGCGAGACACGCTATGAAGGATTTTGTGGATTGCAAAACCCGTCTACCAATGGCCCTGATTAACCTCCCTCCCTAATACTTGATTTCCCCAGATCTGGCCTGCTCCTCAGTCCTGGCCCCAGGGCGGCCAGCACAGGGACCTAGAAGGGACAATGAAGACCTCAGGGAGGGGTTTGTGCTGTCTGTCAGGGAGGGGGAGCTGAACTGGAAGAATAGTGTGTCCGTTCTATGACTATGAGCAGGGTCTCAAGGAGAAATGGGCTCAGGTGTGGGTACATTCAGGGCGCATCGACCCCTGGGTGTGGTGTGGAGAAAAATTCTTCAGGGCGTAAGGGAGGGGCCTGAACTTAGGACTTGGGGAGACTCCAGTGACCTCCATCCTGCTGCTGCTGTGAGGGGTGCCACACCCTGCTCACTCCCATGGGGCCTTCCCCGGCCCACAAGCCAAACCTTGGAGCAGAGTGGCCTGGTCTGGGCCTGCATTAACCCTGAAGCCCGGAACACACCTGCTGCAGATGGGTGAAGCTCTGGGCTTCCGGCCCTGGCATGGGGGCTGCAGATCTTTGGGGCTCAGATGTTCCCCACTGTGCCCTAAAGCAGCACCCCCCCCCCCATACAGTCTCTGGATGGGAGGGCCCAGGCTCCTCTGGACCAGCCCTGCCTGCTGGGCTTTTCTGCCCATGGCCAGGCCCCATGGCCTTCCAAGGTCAGGGGCTCTGAGAGGTGTCCCCAGCATCCATTCTGGATGGCTGCTCCCCTCTCCCCTCCCATAGGGTCCAACACTGAGAGAAGCCCATAGAAGGTTCCCCGACAGCTGGGGCAACCAGGGGCCCAAGCAGGAAGGGGCTAGTCTGTGCAGCCCTCTCAGGCTCTCATCCTTGGGAGGTTCCCCCATCCCGCCCACATCCGGGGAAAGCTCTGCTTCCTCACTGCCGCACTGTGTGAAAGGCAAGTTGAGAACCCCGTCTCCACAGCTCAGCTGTGGCTGTTGACACTCACTAGTCAGCCTGGTCCCTCCTGTCAGCCAGCAGGGCTACTCCCTGCAGGGCACCCCACCTCACACCCTAAATTGCTCTGGGAGCCATTGGCCCATCCCTGTCCTGGGACTCCTGAGTCTCCCTGTCCCTATCTCTCTACTTAAGGGCACAGAGCTTGGGGAACTGGCAGAACAGGGCACCCCATATGTACTTCAAGGACACCCTAGCAATTCCCACAGGGCCTCCCCACCCGCTGCAGGAGCGGCCGACTCCGGGCACCACAGTTAAATTAGTCTGATGCCCCAGCTTCCTACCTCCGCTGCCTGCTCCCCAGATCTGCTCCTCCCTGGGGCTGGACCCTCTCCTGTAGGGTCCCGTGGCCATGCCTTTGTTCCACCTGTCCCCTGCCATCGCAAGGTTTCCCAACCTTACTGATCATGTCCTTTCCCTCCCTGATTCACCTCCTTACTAAGAGCAGGCCAGATCCATCTCCTTCCAAGTCCCCACCCCTGCCCCTCCAGCAGCCCTGAGCGATGATCAGGGTTTCCCGGCATCTGCGTCTCTCAGGCACCCTCTCTCCCCTGTCCCTGGCAGAGTCCAGGCTTTCACAGATGCTGGTTGAAAAGATAAATATTATTATTTACACTAGCCACCCCCGCAGTGGGCACCTCTGCCTCCCCACTGCAGAGCCCTGCCCTAGCTGCCCAGTCCCCTAGGCACGGGGGTCCAGTGTGGGGGTGGGCCAGTCCACACTCTGGAGGCAGGTAAGCCATTTGTCCTGCTCTAGAGCACTCAGGCAGAGAGGGGCCCTTCTCCCTTTGCTCAGTGGGTGACCCTGCCCCAGAGGCAGTCCCGAAGCCAGCAGCTGTAGGCCCCAAGGGCTCTCTCCCTCCTCAAAAGGAGACTGGCCTTGGCTGGGGCACACCCTGGTTCTTGTTCACAGGCCACTCCACCCCCCTGCCCCCATCTTCTCACAGATGGGAGACTCCCAGGGGCAGCAAGTGGCAGGAGTCAGGACAAGGACACTGTCAGTGGGGAAGAGAGGGGAAGCCGGAGAGTCCCACAGGTAGTAAGTGTCCAAGGGTGCAAGCAGCAAGGCAGGGCATTTTTGGTGGCAGCGCCACAGTGCCGATGACATTCTGGTGGCTTGGGTTTGGTTTCTAGTGATGTGGCCCAATATCTGATGATGTGATCCAATTTCTAATGATACACCCAGGGCTCCAGACCAAACGACATGACCTTGGTTCTCAGTGGTAGGCTAATGCTTGGAGGCATGATGGTGAATAGATGTGTCATGAGAGTTTCCCAGGATGCCCTGGGCAGTGAATGCCTCCCCAGTTTGCTGAGGACCCCAGCTCTCCAGTGGGCTGGCCATTTTGTGCTCTGAGACAAGATAGCTCTTGGGGAGCCCCATGTGCTGCTGAGGGCTTTCCTGCTTCCCATTTCCATTCCAGTGTCGTTCTTCAGGGAGAACTGGGCCCAGCCCAGCCCAGTCCTATAGGCCGCTGTCCACTCAGAAGCCTAGAACAACTGCTGGGTGGAGGGGCCCTCCCGGGCTCTCAGGGGCCACAGCTCCGGGTGGGGAGGGAGTGGGAAAGTGCCGGTAGCCTCCACAGACAGGGGCCATCATCCTCCCAGCCACAGATGTCAGGGGGCCGCTCCATGGCCTGCAGCTCAGACAGCCGTGGACTGCTTGATGCTGTGGAAGCTGACGCGGGTCGGGGAGGTAGGGATGGACATGGCGCGGGCCACACGGGCACGGATGGAGTGCTTGTCCTGCCACCGGTGCCACCTCTTCCGGATGGCAGAGCGGACCTGTGGGAACAGAGCAGAGCATGATGTCTGGTCTGACTGGGGGCTCAGGATCCCCTCACACAAGCACAGGTGGAAACATTCATGTCGCTAACGTTCTCACGGCCATGTTTGTTGGGAGACTTCTCTCAAGTTAGGAAAGAACACCTTTTCTTAATTGGCATCAAGGTGCCACCTGGCCTTTGCCATGCAAAATCCCTCCCCTCAGCCCTGTGACACCCCTCCCCCCGCCCACTGTACTCCCCCCCCCAAACCCTGCCCCAGGGCTTCCTGGCCCAGCTTTCTGCCCCCCAATGCCAATGCCTAAGGACAGGGTGCCTTGGACACACAGGGCATGGCAGGCCCTCGGGGGCTCTGAGCAGCATCCTACTGGGACCTGGGAGCAGGAAGCCAGCCCTGGGGCAGGAGGAAGCGGAGGGGGGCCAGTCTCCAGCCCCCGTGGACCTCAGCATCCTGAGCCCAGCTCTGACTCGGGTTCTCACCTCGCTGTTGAGGAAACAGTAGAACACAGACACGAAGAAGCCCTGGGGGGACAGGGGGACGTCAGAGGCCTGGGCAGGGGTAGGGGGCCCACCCAGACTCCAGGCTGCCCCCAGCTCTGCCCCTCCTCCCAGGAGAATCCCCACCGGAGCAGGTGCCGCTGAGGGCCCTCCAGCGCTGGGGCGAGGGGAGGGCCCGTACCTGGAAGGATTCCAGGAAGGAGTTGAAGTAGATGAAGACGACCCGAGAGACCTCGTCCTCCCCGGGGTTGACAAAGAAGAGCATGTAGGTGATCCCCAGGAGGGGCAGCAGCACCAGAGTAGCCTTCACAGCCTTCCTGGGGTAGGGGGTGGGGACCCAGAGTCACAGCCTGTCCAGGAGGGAGCTGGGCCTCTGGCTGGGGTGGGAGGTGGCAGGTCTCAGGAGAGACCTGCTCAGAGGCTGGCACTCTGAAGCCCCTGGGTGGGGAGGGGACTGGTACCTGTACTGAATGGTCTCAGATGTGGTGGATGCCCGGAGTTTGGTCATGAGGATGCGGACGATGTTGAAAAGGAAGATGAAGTTGATCTGCAAGTTGAGCACACGGATGGAGACGGGGGGGGGGGGGGCATGGATGTGTGCAGGATGTCGTGGTGGGTGGAGGGGACAGCTTAGGTCCCCAGCCTTCTCAATTCTGGCCTCATTGTCCCCCACTGCTCTCCTTCCCCCTCATTAACACCCACATAGTCCTGGCCTGGGCTCCTCTGAGTGGTCCCCATCTCTGGGCAGAGGGTCCTCTCTGTCCACAGCAGGTACTGACTGCCCCTTCCCACTGTGCCCTGTCCAGCCCCCCGCCAAGGTTCTTACCAACAGGACCAAGATCATGGGGCCCTGGTAGATGTAGTCGGTGTACACCCCAGGCTTTTTGCCAAACCAGCACCTAGAAGGTCACAGAGGAAGGGGGGGTGGTGGCGTCATCTGGATCCACTTCAGTGGCACAGGGAAGGGTAGTGCTTGGCCAGGGCAGGACTGGGGCTGGCAGTCAGGATGTGGGTGCCCCAATTCCAATCCTGACAGAAGATCAAGCCAGTTGACTGCAGTGCCTCAGTTATCCCACCTGCAGTGTGGACAGCAGCCTCTGTTTGAGATGGAAAGTGATAGCAGACCCTGGCAGGGAGGGACGGTGGAGAAGACCACTGAGTGCCCAGGAACAGGCTGGGGCCCAACAGAGCACTGCTTCCTCTGTTCCTCCTTGTGGTCCCCTGGTGGTGGCTGCGGCTGAGCATGGTGCTATTGAAACAGGCACTGACAGTTAGAATCTGTCTGAATTTTTTTTTTTAAAAAACTTCAATTCCTCAGGGGCACTTAATATTAATAACCAACATCCCCAGCCATCTTTATTTCCTGAGACAGGGTCTCTCTAAGTTGCTTAGGGCCTGGCTAAATTGCTGAGGCTGGCTTTGAAGTGCGATCCTTCTTCTTCCTCAGCCTCCAGAGTTGCTGGGATTGCAGGCGTGTGTCATTGTGCCAGGCTCTATCTGAATTATTTAAATTGCAACAAGAATGACCTTAATGGGGACAATTTCACAGGAACTACCTGTTTGCAAGAGACAAAACTGCTTTGCATTTTCCTGAGTTGCCCTCCAGCAAGTTCCAGGGAGTGGGTGGGACAAACTGGAAGCCCTATGTCCTTGTGGGCAGAGACCCACAGTGGCTAGACTTCATCTTGCTCCCATAAAACAGAAATTGAGATCTTATGTGAAACCTGTTGATTTTTAAAGGTGGCTACAAAATCAAGTTTTTGAACAGCACCACGCAAGCCAAACCCAGCTGTCGGAGGGCCAGGTCTTCTGGTTTGCTAGTTCTTTCTGATGTCTCCAACTCCCATTCTTTCTGTTGCAGTGTCTATATTTGGCCAGCAGGTGGAGCTTCAGAACCACTGAGACCCACTTTCTTCTCCATTCCAAGTCTCCTTATCCTTTTCCCAGCAAGGGAGGGTGTGCTGGCTTCCTCTGTGGCCGAGGGCAGCAGGAGGCACCTGGAGCCTGGTCAGATGGTCAGTGGATCCTGAAAATGCTTTGTTGGCAACAATTCTGTCTTCTTCCCCTCACCAGTTTGATCCACCCGCCTTTTCTGCCTCTTTCTCCATCTTAGCTGCCCATTGGAACCACTGAGCAGTTAAAAAAAACCCTGGTGCCCAGGTCACAACTCAGACCAACGACATCCTTCTCTCTGTGGTCAGCCCAGGAATCAGCGCTTTTTAGAGTTTCCAGGTGATTCTCCATGAGACACAGCTATCTAGTTTTCTCCATGCAACAGCGGAAGTCTAGTTCAGGGGTGACTGGGAACAAGAGTCTCCAAAGCTTCAGAGCTGGAAAGAGCCTCTGAGGCCATCTGGACCAATCTCCAATAAATCCATGGAATCTTTGTTAAAACAAGTGTTAATCAAAACATTAACATAGCATACACTAACACGCTAGGCTCTATTTCTACATGCTTACTATGTATCACACATGCTAGTCCTACCAGGACCCTTTGAGGTAGGCACTGTTAGTGGGATGCCCATTTTGCAGATGAGGAAACTGAGGCACAGAGCAGTAATTATTCCAAGGTCATATACCTATGTTTACTGGTGGAGCCAACATTCAGAACCTGGGAAGCTTGGCTCTAGAGACGTTCTTGTTAAAGCGCAAGAGGAATGAAGGAGCCCAGAGGCTGCTGCCTCTCCAGCCACCTCTGACAGAGCACTTGGAGGGACACTTGGATTGAATCCAGCCCCCAACTCTCTGCTTTTATAGATGCAGAAGCCAGGGTCTGGCAGGGAGGCAGAATGACCCAGGGTCCTCGGGGAGGGTCTGATGGAGCTAGGCTGGGAGCCTGGACCTCAGGGCTTGGGGAGGGGAGGCAGGTGACTTACTTCTCATTGTCGTAGTACAGCTTTCCAATGGCCCAGGCCACAATGATGGGGAAAGGCACACCTGAGGAAGAGACAGGCAGTCACAGAGCCCTTCAGGGGAACCTGGGGAGGGGGGATGCTGGGTCTGGAGGACCCCAGTGCAGCCCAGGGCCTAGAGTGGGGTGGGGTTACCAGGGGTTGAGCATGAGCTCACACACCTTCATGATGGTCCTGTTGTCTCCCCCCCCAGGAGGGTGCACACCCCACCATCCAACCTGGCCTCCAGCTCCCAGGCCCCGGCCGCTGGCCTGACTCCAGGTGAGGAGGGGGCGGCAGGGCTTGCAGCATCTGGCCTGGGGCGGGGGCCGCCCCGCTCACCCCAGCCAATGCAGATGAACATCCACTTGCGCAGCCGGTCGGTGGAGTAGGTGAGCACAATGGCCGTGTGCAGGTAGCAGCCCTCGCCAAACATCCAGAAGAAGTTGGTCACGTGGAAATAGTTGTACGCAGCTGTCACCAACCTGCACCAGCCCTGACCACCCCCCCCAAAGACAGGTGAGGATGAGTGGGGTGGGGGCAGTGACAGCACCCCACCCGGACCTGGGGTCTCCTCAGGATCCCACTCCTGTTCTGTGGGCACGAGGCCTGGCCTGGGCCCCTCCTCTGATCCTGGGCTTGTCCCCATGCTGGCTCCCCCTGCCAGGACACACCACATTGCTCTGGTGGACCTCGGGGCTCATGGTGAGCTGGACCACGAACCACGTGGCGTTGCGCAGGATGAAGGCCGAGATGAGATTCCAGTGGATGATGTTTCTCAGGCACCGGATACTCCTGGGACAGCAGGGGCAGGCAGATGACCAGAATGACAAGAGGAGAGAGAGAATGAGGGACAGGCCGCCAGCCTCATGGCAGTCCAGATGTGTGGCTGGGGAAACTGAGGCTCAGAGAGAGTGGGCTGGCTGGCTGTCACAGAGAGAGGAGGCAGCAAGCTTCTTTCCATGCCCTGTGGGGCCCTTCCTGACTGTGACCACCCAAACGTGAGCTCCTGGGCAGGGCAGGGCATGCTCTGTGGACCGGGCTCACTGTGGGTGCCCCTTTCCCTGGCAGGTGCCCCTCCACTCCAGCCCTTTCAGGATTGAGAGTAGAGGGTCAGCAAATACGACAGGCCTCCGAGGGAAGCCCCCGCTGCTCCCCACCTGCCCCCACTCCACGGCCGTGGCTCATTTGAAACTAAAGAGGGGAGGTCACTCCTGGCACCCCACCTCCAGGGCTCCACCTGCCCAGTCTCCAGAAATGGGTACAGACCCGCCAAGGTGTGGGCGACACAGGGAAGCCTGGGCTTTGTCCCTCCTCACTGCCCCCTTCAGTAGTTTCTGTAGAGGGACAGGCCACCAGGACAGGCTCTTCCTGAAGCTCCAAGACCCCCAAGACCCCCATGTATGCCACCCTCTTCCCACTGAAGGCAGAGGCAATGCCCCCTTCCCAGAAGCCCAGGGCTGCCCTGCATCCTATTTCCCCTGCCCTGCTCGAGGACCCAGGGACAGCAGCAGGCAGTGCCAGGGTCTTCTCACCTGAGTCGCAAAAAGAGGAAAAAGGCCACCAGGAGGGCCACCAGGGAGATGCAGTGGCCCAGGTAGTTGATGATGACGGCGACGTGGTAGTGCACTTTGCTCTTCTTCTGAAGCAGAAGAGAGGGGCGGAGGTGAGGCTCCTGCATAGCCATGCCCCTGCACCCGCTGGACAAAGCGCTCAGGGCAGCGGGGACAGAGTGGGCAGAAATGCTGGGGTGCCCCCTCCCCAGGCCCTCCTGGGTGTTGAGCACTGCTCTGGAGCAGCACTGTCCAGCTGAAGCCAGTCTTCCCTGAATCCCAGGCTCTGCCTACTGCTTTGTGCTGTTGGGAAAATCTGGGTTAAATGGCATCTCTACATAACACCCCGGGAATGCCGCCCACAGTGAGCTCCAAGCTCACACCTGTCCACGCTGCCATCTTGTCCTAACACCTGGTGGCCCTGGTGGGTGCAGAGACCTCAGCTCTCCAAGACCTCTTTCCTCCACCCATTTTTGTATTGTGTCACTATCTTCCTGGTCACTCCTAAGTCTCTCTGTAGCTGCGGCCAGCTCTTATTTGCCAGGAGAGGGGTGAGAGCACTGTGGATCAGAATCGTTAGCAACCAAGGAAACCTGTCTAGGTTCCTTGGCTCCCTTCCTAGGGCCTTCCCTCTCCCTGGCCCAGGGCTTCTCAAAGTGAACGGGATCTCTCAAATTCCCTAATTTTATTTTTTAATTAATTTAACATACAGAAGGAAACTACTGCCCCCATCCTTCCAGTAATCTTAAGCTCCAAGAACAGGAAGTCTTAGCAGTCACAGAGGGGTTTCATGTCTGTTATGTTCTCAGACCCTCAAGGTGACCCCAAGGGAAGGGTCAGAGGGGCACCTGTAACTTCTTTTATAGAAAGAGCCCCAGAAGTACGTGAGCTCCCTCCAGGTCGCCCCACTCCAACCTCCAAACTGCCTCATACCTGCGCATGCAGATCAAGGGGCTAAGACTATGAACAGGTTCCCGCCCTACAACGAGGGACTGGCTGGTGCCCAGGGCTCACTCTCTGCCCTGCTGAGGGCACAGCCCCCACTCACCCTTTTCTGGGTCCCAGGAATGTAGGGCCTAGAAACCCAGAGCCTGGCACACAGCTGGGCTCCATGATTATGAGGAAGGAACAGGGGAGACGGAAGCAGGCGGCTTGGAGAGAGGGTCCCTGCTGGCATCCCCCTCCTTTACCCTTTTCTGGTCTGGGGTGGGGCTAGGGGATTAAGACGCACAGGAACTGGCCATATGCAAACCCGAGAAAGGACAGGCTGGCAGAGGCCCTGCTCACCCTTTCAGAGCACCGCAGAGCTCCTGGCTCTTCACGGACTTTCCTGTCAGAAGTACAGGATCCACGGATGTCAGAGCTGCTCCAAGGCAGCAGCCCCACCCATTCTCCAGATGAAGAAACCGAGGCCCAAACACACACAAGAAGGGACACCTAGCAGGCATCCCAGAGGGGCCATGCCCTCCCGCCCACGCTTCCCCTCCCTCGGCACCCCTTCCAAAGAGACATCCTCCCATGGAGCTCACGGGGCCAGGAAGGAACTTGTTTTTAGGGTAGAGGTTTTCAAGGACATGCCACGAAATCACATTAGCAACTCCAGCCTCAAAAGGGCTGGGACCCATGGACGTGTACGTGGAGGCAGGGCAGGAGAGACAGAGGGACAAGGTGGGGACAAAGAGGGGGCCTGAGCCACCACTGCAGATGCAGAGGTCTCTAAGCGCCTCTGGCAGATGCCACAACCCTGAGGCTCCAGAATACACACACACATCAGAGCCTGTCTACAGCTGGGACTTAATTTCCTTTTATTAAAATTTCCACAAATCCATGCTGAGAAGCCCCTGGGTAATGACAACATCTGCAGAGCCACAAACAGCAGGACATCCTGGCTTCACTCACAAGGCCCAGGTGGGACAAGTGAGCAGAGTCACAGGGAGCCCATCTGTTAGGGGCCCTGCCTCTGCCCATCAGGGCAGGCCTAGATTGTTTGGTTTGGGGTAGGGAGGAGTCATTTATTAAGCACCTACTGGATGCTGAGCACTGAGCCAGGCACCTCTCCAATGTCATTGCTTTTCTTTCTCACAACTGGGCTCAGAGACTGGTCATTGCATCCTTGTTTTCCCATCGAAGAGACTGGATGACCGGCCCAAGCTACTCAGCCAGCAATTTAAACTTGACTTTGTGCATTTCTTGGGGGACAAGCAGGGATGGACAACCGAGGTGCTGTCTGGGGAGCTCTCCTTCATGCTGGGCCCAGAATCCTCTGAGGGCTTTTGCAGCGGGCGCGGGAGCTCCCGAGTGTTCTTCAAGCGGGCTGAAAAGTGATAACAGGGACCATTCCAGGGGGACAGAGGTTCCATGTGACTTCCTGAGATGTGTCTGGCTGAGTTCAAGCCACCTCTAGCCTGATACAAGTGAGAAACAGCTGGAGAAGATGGCTAGAGGGACAGCAGTGTCATTAAGAGAGGGCCAGAGATACTCGACAGAGGACCACTGTTGAGATATGGATGTGTCCCACAAAGTTCATGGGTTGGGAACTTGAGCCCCAGGGCAGAGGGGTTTGAGGTGGGACCTATCAGAGGTGTCAGGAGCTGAGGGCATCACCCTCGTGAATGGGTTGCTGCTGTCATCGTGGGAATGGGTGCTTCCTACAAGGGGCGAGTGTGGGCCCCACCTGCTTCCTCTACCCTCTTTGCCCTCCCATCAGGAGATGATGCAGCTAGAAGGCCTTTAAAGGTGCCAGTCCCCCATCTGGATCTCCCAGCTTCCAGAACCATGACATTTCTGTTCATTATACACTACCCAGTCTCGGGTATGTGTCTCAGGAGCACAAAACAGACTAAGACAGTCGCAAACACTCTGAAAGACCAATCTTTCCAGTTGACACACGGACAGAACAGCCAGAGACACCTAGAAACTTCCACCACCAACAAGAAATTTGGCCAGCACGGTCCTGAGCTGACTGCTCCTTGAGAGACACTCAACAACACCCTGAGAGATGGCTAGTGACCCTCCCCCAAGAAAAAGCCAGTGATACCCTGAGAGGTGGCCAATGACACCTGAATGACACCTGAGGAGAATAACCAGCAACATCCCAAGGGACAGCCAATGACCCTCCAAGAGATGACCAGGGACACCCAGACACAGTGACTGCTTCAGGGACAGCCACCAAGAACTGCAGAAGCAGCTGGATGTCCAAAGGACATGGGAAAAGCCAACCACAGGGGGCTGACCAGCACTCTGTCGCATCCAGTTTGCATACCTAAGAATAGCAGGTTCCCTGAGGCAGGTGACACAGAGGGGCACTGGGCAGAGACCACTGTGCTATGCCCTCCATGACCAGAATCTCACAAGCAATTACTGCTTGTTTGATTTTGAGCAGAGTCTCCAAGACACTATCTAGTCCAAAATGGTGGTGGTGTCAGACCGGTCCCTATGCCTGACCGGATGGCAGCAAGGAGGATTCCACGCTCCCTCCACTCACCCTGGCCTCATCTCTTCATCTCTGCCCACCCACATTGTCTCTTCCTCTCCACCTGGGCTTCCTGCACTGTTCCCCTGATCTTGCTAGCAGATTCCCAATCCGTGGCTCTGCAAAGCATGGTCCCTGAACCAGCGACATCAGCATCCAGGAGCTTGCAGAAGTCTTGAGAAGAGTGGAGTTTGAGCCTCGCTCCAGATGGTCAGAATTGGAATCTTCATTTTAGCAAGAAGCCCACGTGGTTCCTAAGCACCATGTTTCAGAAACCCTTGTCCTGGCCCAGATCCCCAGATCCCCAGAGTAAGTACCTTTACTGTCCTCAAGTCCTGTCCTTCCAGGATGTGCACGAGGGTCAGATTCCATGTGCTCAGCAGAGCATAAGGGAGGGCACTGAGTGCATTCAAGGGTGCAGGAGAGAGTTGGGGACAGGGGGGAAGGACACAGTAGAGGTCACAGTTGTGTGTAGGGGGGACTGATACTGGGAACTGGTGCAGAGTGGTGCTGGGGACTTGCTGCCGACCCCTGGCTGGGCCACACATGAATCAGGCTTTCCAATCAGGGACCTGTCCCATGGTGGTCCTGGCTGTGGGCGCCTGGACTCTGGGTGTCCCATTTCACAGACTTGCTCCACCCCAGGGCGCTGGTACTTCATTAGGGCTTAGCCCAGCCTGCCACTCACCCAATTGGAAACTTTCTCTTTGCAGCTCCAAGAGGGAGGGGCTAAGCCTCTTGGGAGGAGAAGGAGCCTATCAACATCTGGAGGGGCTCAGAAGGGATGGTGTTTTCACTAATTAAATTAATTGATTCCAGAGTAGCTAAGCAAGCAGGCCAGTTCCACCAAGACAGAGAAAGGGTGTCCCTGCTACTCACGGTTTTCTCATCCCTTCCTGTGTACACCACCACCTCCTCTGATCTCCCCGGTGGTGAGAGGCAGAGAGGTAGCAGGTGAGTGGGTACCCTCCATAGGCCAAGACAGCACCCTCCTAATCTCCCGGGGACAGCCACTGAATTATTCTCAGCCCTTGTAGGGGACTAAGGTGAAGCCACTTGCTCAAGATCACACACAATGACCTGTAATTCCAGCTGAGACAAGAGGATCCCAAGTTTGAGGCTGGCCTCAGCACCTTAGTGAGACCTCACCTCGAATTAAAAAAAAAAAAAAAAAAAGGGCTGGGGATATAGCTTAGAGGTAAAGTGCCTCTGGGTTAAATCTCCAGTATCAAAAATAAAAAAAAAAATAATAAAAGATCACACGCAGCATTGGAAGCAGATTCCAAACCCCAAATTGTCTGCCCCCAAAGGCCATGCTGTTCCCACTATATTGCCAAAGTGGGGGTGCTCATGAGAAATGATGCTCTCCTCCTTTCTGGCCTAACCTGCTGGTGGAGAGAGGGAGAGTCCTAGGTCCCAGGCAGAGGTGGGGCCTCCAGGACATGGAGAAGGGAGGACTGAGGCAACCAACCTCCTGCCCTGGAGTCTCTGAAGAGAGCTGGGGGGAAACGGGCTGCTGAGTGTCCTCCATCAGCCAACTAGAAGGAAGGGTCTTAAGTTAGAGCAGGAGAGACGGGGAACCCTGAAGACCTCACCCTGACAATCAGGAGGCTCAGATGCGGGGGTGCGGTAGGAGAACAACTCTGGTTACTGCAGCTTTGACAATGTCCAAGAAAGGCACAACTGTCTGCCCCTCTGTCCGATGGTGGGACAGCTGGAGATGTCTGGGGCAGCTGGAGACTTCTGCCATGGCAGATCCAGCAGGGCTCTCAGACCTCAGGTGGGTGCGATGAAGATCTGTCCTGCGAGACAGATGCTATCCCAGCTGCACCTCCCCCACGGCCACCCTCACTGGGCAGGAACAATGGTCTCAAGAGCCACCACAGCACGGATCTGCTTTTCTGAGCCCAAGCCCCGTTCCTTCTGTCTCATCTCCTCTACTGTGTGCCAGGGAGCGTTTTCCATCCCTGAGTGGTTCTTGGCCACCCCACGACCCACCCAAGGCCATCTCCTCTGGTCAACTTTCCTAATCTGGACCCCATACCCCTCCTCCAGTCCAGGAGGGTGCTCCTTCCCCAGCCCCAGGACCACCCAGGTCGGCTGACAGTCAGGATGTTCTGTGCTCAGGTGTGACAGTAGGGATGCTGGGCCAAGCCAGCCCAGCCCAGGTCTGACCTGTGAAATCTGAGATGGCAGGAAACCCCTCATTCTGCACCCCAAGGAACTCCACCGCCCTGCCAGAGCAGTACTGTGAAAGAGCTGGTCATTATTTAGGCTAAGCAGTGACCTGCCTTTGCAACTTCTGGAAGGAGATTGCTGAGCAGCTCAAGGAACCGGGAGGGGCTTACGAGAGTGCTCAGGGCTGGGGGCGGGGGGGAAGATGTCCTCTCCACAACCACCTCGCTTCATTCAGGTACCTGGACTCCGAAGCCCCGGGTTCCAGGCTCTGGCTACGTGACCTTGTGCAAGCCTCTCCACTTCCCTGACCTCAGTCTCCCCTTCTGTGAAGTGAAGGTGTTGGACCAGATCCAGGTTTCCCACTTTGGCCCCATCAGCAGGCTCCCCTGGGGGCACTTGTTAAAAATACCAATTCCCAGATCCTCCTGGGCACCTTGAGCTACTGGGTGCTGGGCGTAGCTCTGCGGCTAACAAGTGCTCTTGTGTGATTTCTTACCACCAGGAAGGGCTGGGAAACTCAGGATGGGATGGAAGGTCTCCAGGGTCCTTTCCAACTCAGATCTTGAAGGCAATGAAATCCTCAAGACTGCCTAGACCAGCCTCTTCCTCGCTCCAGGAGCCAGGGGCCCTGGTGGCTTGGGATGGCTTCCCTTCTGCCATTTGCTTTCTGCTCACTTTGCTTTTCGGTTACATTTTCTATTTCTTCCAGCCCATGACCCCCGTCTCCCTCAGCACTTGTGGATAAAGGGAGTAGAGACAGAGGGACAGGGCGGAGGGGGACGGAGGTAGCAGAAACACTGGATGGAGACGTTCGTGCCTCTGCCAAATGTCACCGGAAGAGAGAATTCATGGCAGTACTGTTTGTAAGGACCAAAGACTGAGAATAAAGGTCGGTTCAGTAAGTTATGGCATAGATGGACCATGGGGCATGTGCAAATGTAAAAAGAATGAAAATGCTCTTTTGTAATGACATGGAAGGGTCTCCAGGATAGATGGCTACATGAAAAAAGCAAGGTGTCAAGGAACATGTATGATATGTGACATTTGGGTAAAACCAAAAAAGTACACGCACACGTAATTCCTTGTACGTGCAGAACAACACTCAAGAAAGTGGCAAATCGGCTGTCTCTGGGGAGGGAATCCACTGGCTGGGGACAGAGGTGGGAGGGAGACTTTTCACTGTATTCCCATCTGTACTTTTTGAATTTTGTATTATGTGTAAGCAATATCTACTCAAAACACTTAAATTTTTAAAAGGATCTCCGGGGCTTTTTAAAATGGCACCACTACCCCTACTTCCATGTCTGGTTCTGACAGTCCTCATGGACCTTGGTGTTGCTCAGGTGTGTGGGGTAGAAATGGGTGCGAACCCCACAACCATGTCTGTAGTCTGAACTAACTACACCCCCAGCAGGCAGCCTCCAGTGGGCACGGGGGCGGGGGGGGGGCGTGAAGGAACCAGGACCCTACTTGTCCCTGTATAGCTTGCCTAGCAGCTGCCGGTCATGTTCCCTGGGGCAGGGCCTTGACATCACCTCTGCCCCCCAGGCCCCAGCTGGCCACTTCGCATCCAGCTCACGCTGGGGTTCCTGGCCGACCCCTTGGGTGGCAGCCTGCCCAGCTCAGCTCACCTCCTCACTGAGGATCTCCTGGCACTCAGAGTAATTCACACGTGCCGCCCAGCTGCCATTGGCCAGGCACTCCCGGTAGCCACTGTCTGGAAAAAGAAGAGAGCTGTGATAGCTTGGCATCTGTCTGTCTGTCTGTCCATCCATTCATCTGGGCCAGCACTGGGCCTCTGGATGGAAGCCTTTCTTATCATCCCATTTCCTGCCCATCCACTCATCTCCCACAGGGCTACAGCAGCCACTGCCTCTGGGTGACACGGCTCTGCCCCTAAGCTGACGTGAACTTGCCACAGAACTGGCCTGTGAACAAGCATGGCTACCCCTTGGGTGCCTCCCTCTAGACCCTGATAAGGTGGCAGATTTCATGGCGGGTGCTCTTCTGAGATGCTCCCATTTGGGTTCACAGCAGAAAAGGAGGATGAGGTCCCTGAGTCAGTGCTCACACAGCTGGGCAGGATCTGGGGGAAGGTATGTGGTGACAGCTCAAGTGGATTTAAATGACATGGTTCCTTGTAGGACTGTGGGTGGTGGAGGTTTCCAAGGGTGGTTCTTGTGTGGCAGGGTTTCATGTGGGGTGGGGGCTCACTGGGAAGGTCTCGAGGAAGGTCCCCTGGTGGCATTGCCCCAAAGCAGGCTTTATTTTGGAGGGTCATGTGGTAGGAACATGGGGGGAAGGATTCTTGGACAGAAAATGCCAGGTGACCGGGTGAGTCTTGCTTGGTAGTGATCTTACTGCACTAGAACCTGCTACAACTGCTCCTGGCCTGGCCTGCGGCACTTGGGAAAGAAGGCAGGAGCATGGTCTGGGAAGGGTGGGTGTTTGTGCAGCCATCAGCCAGAACTGAGCCCCAAACTGTCACCTTCCAAGAAACCCTAAGGGCTGCTGCCTGGCTTTGGAGCTCTGGGATGGACAGAGCTGCCTAAAGGGTCCCTTTTACTGGCCTTTCTACCTGACCCCCTCCCCCTGGACACCAGGGTCATAAATTCAGAAGGGAAGGGACAGAAGGGTTCTAAGTTCTGTCTTGCCTCCTCTGCTGGTGAGGCTGTCCTATGCCACCCCAGATCCCTCTCTGGCATCAGTAGCTTTATCCTGTTTCCTTGACTTAATTCACTGACTGCAAAAGAGAATGAGCCCTGAGCCATCTCTGCTGGCCTCTGCAGGCCTCTCTGCGGCTCTCACTGACCCACAGAGCTGGAGGAGGACTGGGGAAGCTGCTGAGTTCTGGTCCTTGGGCTTGGAAACCCATAGGGACAGAGCTCTGGGAGGAAGCCAGAGCCCTCTCCTCATTTATAAAAGGGAGCTGCTCCAACGGTTCCCATGGGACCATTAGCCTGGAGCTGCCTCTCTGCTGGCAGCATCAGGACCAGAGGGAGATGCTGGGGGGTGGGGCAGGAAAGTTGATGCTGAGCCCAGGAGAGGGAGCCTCAACCTGGCCTCCTGGACTGAAAGGCGGTGGCCTCCTTTCTAGCCCAAGTAGCGTTCTGGCTGCGCGGAACTGGAAGGGAAATGGGGTTCGGTGGATTTGTAAAGCTCTGCCCAGCCTCTCTGTGAGTGGACCTTGGTCTGGTGCAGTGCCCAGCCCTGGGCAGAAATGACAATGAGGCGGCAGGGCTCTCCTAATTGCTAAAGGAGGGCTAAGCTCCCCCAGGGCAGAGGGCACCATGATGGGGTGCTCTGAAAGTTCTTTGGGGACTGGGAAGCCAGGAACTAAGGGAATGCAGTATCTCTACAATGGACATGAACTGCCTGGGACCAGAGGCTGCTCTGGAATGTCTGCAAAGAGAGGGGCTTGGGGGCAGAGACCTGGTGGGAAGGGCGCGGGGGCAGGGGGTTGTGCATGCAGTTTTTGCCTTAAGAGAGGCAGCATGAAAGAGTGTTCAGAGCTGAGCCCTCCACCCAGGCAGGCTTCCTGCAGACCCTGGAGTCACCCCCACTGGCTGTGTGACCTTAGGCCAGTCACTCAATCTCTCAGTGTCCTTATTCATGAGATGGAGCCGTCCTATTCATGACTTCCACCTCACTGGTGCAGGGTTTTACTTAGAACCGTGCCTGACATATGGTATCGCTGTGATGTTTATTATTATTGTCTTGGAGCAATATTTATATTACCTTATATAACATTCAGAACGTGCCACTTGTCCTGATCAAAGGGGGTGCTGGTGGAGCTAATGGGAAGGCACCCCACACAGGGGGTGGGGCATGTGGAATCCCTCTCTGGGCCGGGCCATCCTAGGCAGCAGGCTTTGACCTGGAGAGAGGAGGTGACCCCGAAGGAAAACAGGCCCCACCCGCTGGGTGCCGTTGCCAGGGAGGATGCGACCTCCTTGTCTTTAATTGCTGAGCTGAGCAGTCCTCCCAAAGAATCACGGGAAAATGGATATTTTTGGAAATGTTTCCCATCCCTTTGAAGATCCGATGAGCAGGAGGGAGGGCATTAAGGAGAAGCCTAGAAATCCTGGCAACACCTCATCAGTAAATGAATTAATTAGTGCCTAATGATTAGGAGCAGCTCTGGTTCCACTCCTCCTGATGGCACAGGCAGGCACATTCCTCATCATCTGGCACTGGGACAACCTGCAAAGGGGATCTTCCAGCCCTGCCCAGAAATGTCCCCCACATCAAGGGGCCCCTGCTTCTTTCCTGGAGTCACAGAAGGAAAAGCAAGGAGCCTTTCTCTACCCCATCCTGCAGGTAGAGAAACCAAGGCCCAGAGAGGACCAGGGCAGAGGGACAGATGGGCTGGCACTGGAACCCAGGATTCCACTGAAGGCAGGGCCAGCAAATTGAGTAGCACTTGCCCAGCACTAAGGCCTAACGGTGATTATTTGGGGCATGTAAAGTAACCCTGGGGGACAAGAGTATAGGGTGCTTATGGGGAGCAGCCAGGACTGGGTGCAAAAATAAGCAGGACCATGTCTGCAAGAGCTCGCAGGCCCACGCAGGAGGAGGGACTCAACTGCGGGGGCAACGGGAGCCACAGAAGGTACATTCCAAGTGAGGGCAACAGGTTCAGATTCAGAACTACGGTTGGAGATCAGAGAGGCTGGGACCAGCAGGTTCTGGTGTTGCTGTAGGGGAGGCCAGATGTGCCAGTATGCCAACTTCGGAACTGCAGCTGTCCCAGGAGCTCCCGAAGATCTCAGCATGGTATGCGGAGCACTGGGCAGGCTCTGGCTCTCTGGGCCTGACTCTGCCTCCAAGCTTTCTAACCTCGAGCAGGTTATTAATCTCTCTGTGCCTCAATCTCACTATTCAAAATGAGCCCTCCTAAATTGGAGGTTGGCCCACTGCGATGCAAACTCTCCTCTTTGGCTTCCTTGGCCTCCTAGGCCCTGCTCCTCTTCTCCTACCTGGGTCTCCTCTCCTTAGTCCCCACATTCCTCCCAGTCCTTCTTCTCCTCCCTGATCCCTCCCATAGCCAGCACATGGTTACAGATGAACACAGAGGCTTGGAAGGGCTGTTCCAGCCTCCTGTTCTGCCCTAGCAGCCCCCGGGAGAGGGTCACAGTCACCCTCCCAGTCCTCCCACGCCTCCTTGGCATAGCCCCCAAATTTAATTCTGTCTTGTAAAGGAAAAAGGGGCAGGAGGGCTTCAAGCTGGAAGAAGCCTTAGAAACCAGGTCATCCAGCCCCCTCAATCCTCAGAGGGGAATCTTCCCCAGCAGAGGGAAAAATATGAGCTGCGATCACGCAACAAGTCTTAGAGTGGACCACTAGCATCTGCAGTCGCCTTTGGCATACTCTTGGGGCTCTGGGCTCAGGCCTACTGGACCCAAAGGCCAAGGCAGGGAACCCCATCCCCAGCTTCTCTCGGGTGAGTCAGGGCCCCTGGTCTGCAGCTGTTCTTCTCTCCATATGCAGGGATCTGAGTCATTGACAGGAGAGAGCAAATTAATTCTGCGGGTGGCAGGTGCTATAGCAAGGAGCTGCAAAGCCTGGCGCAAATGTGTGGGGCCTCAGGGGAGCGCGGTGTTTACAGGGGATCAAGTATCTGCACAGCCCTGGGTCAGTCCTGCCCCACTGCACCCCTGGGAGGCAGTGAAGCCCCTGCCCCATGTCCTGGTTGGAGGGCCCTGAGCTATCATCTGCAAAGTTGGGGCTCTTCGAAAGATCCCTGCCTTACCTCATGGGGTTGCTGTGGGTCTCAATAGACTAATCCAAAGATGGCCAACTATAGGAGAAAATGTCACACAGACATTTCAACTTTGCCCCTTACCAGCTGGCATTCCTTGGGCAAGTTCCCTAACCTCTCTGAGCTTCGAAGGCTTAGCTTTATGCCAGGTGGTGCTGCCTGGTATTGTGAGAGTCAGCACAGAGTGGGCTTTGCAGTGGTGGTGGTACCCTCAAAAGGTATTATTAGTATGGCTGTAGCTTGTTATTTCCCCACTTTCAAGCTCTTCCCACGCCACCCCACCCCAGCAGATGCTCCACCCTCTACCTTCTTCTTACTTGTGGTGTTGTAGCGGACACCGTAGAAAAAGGCAGGGCAGGGCCGCACCACCAACTGCCCTGCAGGGCTCTGGGGCCAGCAAGTACCAATGAGGTCCACGGAGGCGTTGCACTGCAGCCCTGGGGACAGAGATGGCTGGTGAGCAGAGCAGGATCCCTTCTCCAGGCAGAAGACACTCCACAGCCCTTCCCCTCCCCCCACTTGCTCCCAATCACAGAGAGACAGGACAAAATCAATGGCCCCGGGTGCAGAAATGAGCCTGTCTATGAGAGGAGAGACCCGGGGAAGGAGTCTGGAGCCAGCATGAGTTCTAGAGCAGAGGAGAAACAGAGATGGCTGGAAGTAGAGTAGAAATCTAAGGTCCTGGTTGGCATTTGGAAGATGGCTGGGTGTGTTTCAGGTCTCCTGTTCTTGGGGACACATCTTTTGACCCCACCCTTGGTAACAGACTAGAGCTCCAAAACTTCACAGGAACACTCTGGAACAGGTCCAGTCAACTCCTGACCCAGGCTCCTCATGTATTTCTGGAACCAAACCACATCTGCCCTAACCCTGCAGGGAAGATGCAGCACAGCCAGGTCGACCAGCTGGTCTGACAGCCGCACTTACTGAGCTCCTGGTTTCTGTGCTCTGGTCTGCACTGGGACCTGGGCCCATGTGGAGAAAAGGGAGGGGACACCTTCAGGGCACTGAACTGGGAGTCTGGGTCCATGGCTCAGAATGGGCTTTGCCACTAATTTGCTCCATGACCATAGGCAAATCTCTCTGGGCCTTAGTGTTTTCTTCTAGAATAAAATGAAGTGCTTGGATCAGATCAGTTTTTTTCAGTCCTGGGGCTTGAACCCAGGGGCTCACACATTCTAGGCAAGAATTCTACCACTGAGCTACACCCCCGGCTTGAGATCAGAAATCCTTAATCTCCATCCATTGGGAATCTCAGGGGTTCATAGAGATCTGGAATATAATGAAAACTTTGGCGTATACACGTTCCAATGGAGAAAGGGTGCTACGGCTATCATTAGATGCTCGATGGGGTCTGTGATTCTGAAGACTCATAAACAGTTGAACTAGAAAAGGATTATTAAAGGCCCCTTCAAACATTAATATTTTCCTCTGATAAAGAAATTTGGGGGGGGAGTGGGGAAAAAGGAGAGACATTGTGTGTGTGTGTGTGTGTGTGTGTGTGTGTGTGTGTGTGTGTTGGGGTAGAGTTGAGGCCTCAGTGACACTTCTGGAGGGTAGAGGGAAGTAGTCTCCAGGGTGGGAGCTAAGCACCCCTGCATCGTCCTGGCATCCCCCCTGGTGCTTCCCCTCTTTCTCTGCCTTTATACCCCTCTGGGCATGAGGTTGGTTCACCAGTCCTGCTGAGACCCATTGTCCCATCATGGCAGAAAGGGTTAATAACTTGGAACTGGCACAAAATGTACAGACAAGCCAGGGAGCCATGATCCATACAGGTAGGGGACAGCCTCTCTGGTACTGGGCATCAGCAGCTGCCAAGCCCTGGCTGGCCTGTCTGCCATTTCCTCCCCGAATTAGCCTGTCTCCAATCTCAGGAAACAGCAGTGGGCTAAATTGGCTTCCTCTCCCTGCTGGATCAGGGCAGTGCGGAGCTGCATGGGTACCAAATGCTGGCTTTTCCTTCTGATCAAAGCTACTCATGGGGCATTTGTGCAAATCAGGGCTCAGGGGGCAGAGACCTCAAGACCAGTGGCTTAATTAAAAGAAAGAAATCTGGACTGGAGGGGCTGGAGCTGGGGCAGGCCAGGTGCTGGGGTGAGCCAGGAGGGTGCTATTTTGCAGCTGAGCCTCCTGACGGCATCGCAGAGCAGTGGGGGAGTGAGGAAGGCAGCACTCTGCAAAGCCCTGGTGTGCCAGGTTGGGATTTCAATCTGTCATGGATCATGCTGATAGTGCTGAGCCCAGAGGAGGGGACGCCAGGGGCATGTGGCAGCGGGGAGGGGGATAAAATTGTGAACTCCGCTCTGCTTTTTTCAAAGCTCTTCGTCTCTTAGGTTCGATCCTCATCCAACCTCCAATGTCTCCTCCAATGTCTACCCTCCCCCTTCCTTTACAGATGAGGAAATCAAAGCCCAGGGATGTTGAGTGACTTGTCCAAGGTCATAAGTCAAAGTGTAAAAGAGTCAAGACTCACAGACTGATGTTTTTATTTGGGTGGGGGGAGATGTACTGGAAATTGAACCCAGGGCCTTGCACATGCAAGGCAAGCTCTCTACCAACTGAGCTATATCCTCAGCCCTGTATTTTATTTAGAGCCATGGTCTCACTGAGTTGCTTAGTACCTTATTTTTGCCGAGGCTGGCTTTGAACTCTCGATCCTCCTGTCTCAGCCTTCTGAGCCGCTGAGATTACAGACCTGTGCCACTGCACCTGGCTCAGCCTGATGTTTTTGACTCTAAATTAAGTGTTCTTTCAATTGCACCATATTGTGTGGCAATAAAGTGTGTGGGGGGCAGTCAAGGAGGCAACGGGGAAGGGAGCATTTAGGGATGACTGGGTGCCAGGCACGCATCAGGTGCGAATGATGTCATTGCTCCTTCCTCATCGGTTGTTCATTCATTCATTCGGTCACCGTATCTCCTGAGCTAGGCACTGGGAATATTAAAAGGGATGCCATAGGTGGCAGTGTCTGGAACATGCCTAACGCACATTCTCTCAGAGAAGACTCTGCCTTCCCTGGGGCTGCCCTCGGGTCCCAGCCCGCGCCTCCAGTCGCTCGAAGTAGACTGTACCGATACTGCACGGAAGTGGCGCCTGGGGCCTTTGCATTAAGAGCCCAGAAAATCCTGGATGGAGTAGAAATCTATGTGCGAGGCAGGAAGAGAGGAAGGAAGGCTGCAGGGGCGAAGAAGAGAAGCCAAATGCAAGGGGCAGGCGACAAAGAGGTCCCTTGCTCCAGAGTCAGACCAGCACGCCAGTCTGGGACTCAAAGATGGGTGGGCGTGGTCCTCGGAGGGGCGTGGTCTGTCAGGTGGGCGGGGCTTTGCGGCATTGCTGTGGAAAGAGCAGCTGAACTTGCGCTAGGAGTTTGGCCTGTGGTTTTGAAGTACAAGAGGAGGCAGAGGCAGCGAGAGAACAGGGAGTAAAGGAAAAGTGGACGATGGAAAGGGGACCCGGAGGTCAAAGGCGGGGAGGAGGCAGCAAGAGAGGGCCTCCGGCACTGTGTTCCCGGGCGCAGTCTCACAAGTGGCACATACAAGATCTCAGCTCACCGCCCTGCGGACACCGCATCCGGGAAGGACGACAGCGGGGTGGGGGGTGTCCCTTAGGGGACTGGTGTACAGGACTCGGGGCAGGGGAACCAACAACATTTGTTTAACACTACTGTATACCAGGCACTGTGAAGGGCGCTTTACCTTAGGCAATTCAGGCCATTCCTTCAATCTACCTAGCCACTCTTTGAGGGGGAGAAAAGAGGGGTGGGAGGGAAGAAACCAAGTCAGGTAGAGAGGGAAAGGGAGGGGAGAGAGAAAAGAGGGGAAGAGAGTTTAAAAAAAAAGACACTAAGGACAAGAGAGGAAGGGGCAGAGGGAAAGCCAAGAAGACAGATAATTTCAGAAGATAGGGAGGGTGTCCATCTACCAGCTGGCAAGGGAGAAGGCAGGAAGGAAGTCTCCATGTCACAGCTTGGTGACCATAATAAGGACCTTCAGGGCTGCTGGACTTGGATTCTTGGGCCAACATCCCCTCCAGGTCCCATTGTCACAAATGTCCAGCCTCTTCTACCCTCCTGGGGTTATTCTTACACCTGGACCTCACAGTTCTGGGATGAGGAGCAGTTTGATTCAGAGTAAGCCAGCCTTGCCACTAGCTGAGCCCATTGGCCAGCCACAGCGCAAAGGTGAGCTGCAGTTAGGAGTCAACTCCTCCGGCAGCTCCTGGTCAGTTAAGGCACAGACAGAAGAGAATGACTGCTCTTTATTCAAGAAGCACTTAGGTAACACCTAAAAAATAACAAGGACCAGAGGTAAAGTAATGAATAAAATAAATGCCCTGCCGGCATGGTACTTGCATCCCACTTGGGGGGAGACAATAAGCAAACAAACAAATATGTTAACCAGTGAGAAATACTATGAAGTAAAACTAAGCACTATAGGGAGATAAAGACTGACAGTGCTGTTTTAATTTAGCATTTTTATAAAATGATAGCACTTAATTGCAAACCTAAAGGAAGCCAGGGAAGGAGCATAGCTGGGACAGTATGCTCTAGGCAGAGGGAGCAGGAAGTACAAAGCCCTGAGGCAGGAGGGTGCTTATTGTACCTAAGGTGTTGACCTCCTTATTCCTGGGTGGCTCACACCCTCATTCACATAAGAATAGAGACCTTTTGAAGGTGGCTTGTGCACAACTGGGCCCTAGTTTCTTTTGCAGTTCCCTTCCCATTAGGCTTAGGGTCCAACTGTGCTCTAATTTCAGAAGGAAATTGGAACCTGACTCCTGTCTCCCATCAGGGCTTCTGGACAAGATGCAGGGGTTCTTGGCAGCATCCTGGCAGGTGGGAAGCCCATCCCTTTGTCTGGCTTAACTCCAGGGGAGGCTGAATTTAAAGGCTGCCTTGAGTGGCAGCTGCCAGGGGCCCTAGAGCAACCTCTGAAACACATTCAGAAGAATGTACCTCTGGGATGAGTGGGAAGAACATCTGTCTGCCAGGGTGGCACAGCATACAGAGGGCAGCAGAGGGCAGTCAGAGCCCTGGTCTTTACTTGGCCACCTAATGGTTGAGCTGCCTCCTTCTTGGTTGGCCAGAGAAGAAAGATGCCACAGACCCTCCTGGCCTGGTGGGGTTTGCACACTCTTCTCTCTGTATAGTGCCAGGCATATAGTAGATGTTAAGAAAAAACTGGGGCCATGCGCAAATCCAGTATTAGTATGGGAAACTTCAGTGGTGGCCCTGTACCCCCAGATGGCTGACTACACTGGACTCTGAGCACCATGGATCTCTGAGTGGCCACATAATGTGATACTGGTAGTTAAGTCTGAAATCAGACCCATTTGGCTCAAATCTCGCTGTCAGTGCTTAGTAACTGTGTGTTTTCAGGCAAGTTGTTCAATCCCTCAGTGCCTCAGTTTCCTCTTGCAGGTAAAAATTCTTCCTGGCTATATTTTTGTGATACTGGATGATATGAAGCACTTTGAATCATATCCAACAAACACAGAGTGGGCACTAAGTAATTACTATCATTCACTTCCTTAAGAAAGAAATGGGAACTGATGACCCCAGGTCCTCGTCAACTCTGATTCCATTTGTCTGTGATGTTGTTAGTTGGCAATTCTATCACTTCCTGGCATGGTCGTCCTCATGCCATGATTTTAAGTTTGCCAAGTCTGTGATATGCCACATGATGGGCCTCAGCCCTGGGGACCAGCCTCTCCCTGCTCCTGGCATGAAGCATGTGAGAGCCCCCCCACAAAAGTCCCGGCTCAGTGCCAGCTGCCCCAGCCAGACGCCCATCCATCTGTCCCGGCCCCTTGGCCCCACCCTCACCATCTGTCTCTACCAATGCCCATCGCTCTGGGTAGGTCTCGGCATCAGAAGACAAATGGCCCGTTACCAGAGGCTGTTTGGAGGGTGATGGATTGCATGCTACAAAGCCGGGCAGGCTGGGCTGGGGGTGGGGGCACCCAGTACAAGTCACCAGGGAATGAATACCATTCATCAAGGCCCGCTGCTGCCAAGGACAGGTGACACCTGCATGGGCTCGGGGATGTCACTCCTCTTGAACACAAGCAAGTTAATGGAGCCTGACCTGGTACCCAGTCACTCCCCCTGGGCCTCCTCCCTCCCCATCTCCTTCTTTGCTGACTGGGCGTGAATCTCCTTTCCCCACAGACCAGCTTTGCCAGTTTGCAGCCTGATGCTGTGGGCTTCCAGCACCTCCCCAGGCTCCCTCCCTCCTCATCCAGCGCTGGTCCTTCCCCCAAGCCCACTTATTGGTCCCCAGTGCACCTTTGCTTTGGCTCAGGTGCTGGATCTTTGCCAGCTCTCAGAATCTCTCTTAAGACTCATCTGATGGGTTGGGATGTAGCTCAGTTGGTAGAGCACTTGCCTTGCATGCACAAGGCCCTGCGCTCAATCCCCAGCACTCCCCCTCCCCCAAAAAAAGACTCACCTTGAAACCCCTGTCCTTTAGGAAGGCTGCTAGGATTCACCCCAACCCTGTCCTGCCTTCCTGCCACCTCCACTGTCACAAGCAGTTGGTGACAGGGACCTTCCCTTCTTTCTAGCTACATACAGAGAGCACCTTTAAAAGCCGCTGGCATAGGCAATCATCATCATACCCAGTAGTGGCCTGGCACTCTGCAGAAACATCCACAAACTCAGTGCCGTTGACCTCTGACAGGTCCGGAAGCAGGAGTCACCTCTCCCTTTACCATCAGACAAAGCCTGGCTCCAAGGGGTTAAAGGCATGCTTGCCTCTGTGGCTGCCCGTTTTCCTCCTCCTAGCCAGGACATGCCGAGCCCTCCCTATCAGCCAGCACAAGAAGTCAGTCTGCCTTGCCCACGCCCAGTACTCACCCCTCTCCCCCAGCCCTGTCTGGTGAAGGAACAGCAGGCCAGGTGACAGCTGCTCTGAGTTGCAGAAGCCTCCTGTCCCTGCAGGCCCAGCTGCAGGAACTGATGCCTCCTGATCTGCTAACATACTCCAGTCCCTCTCTCGGCCAGTGCGTCTCTCACTCTGCCTTTTAGTACCTGCACGGGAGACCTAGAGACTGGGAGCTCCCCTACCCCCTTGCACAGGGCCTGCTGCAGAGTAGGTGCTCAGCTAATGAATCAAGGAAAGCCTTGAGGAGGAACTAAATCACTACAAGACATCAACCCTCCCAAGGACCCCTAGGTGTAGGAGACTGCTGCATTTTGCCTGGTACCAGACATTCCTAGGATGATGCCCAAAGTTAGCGAAGGCCTGGCCTTGGGAGCCCCAAGACTTTGACTTGGGTCCCAGCCACTGATGGTGTGTTTCTGGGAGACCTAAGAACTCTTTCCCACCTCAATCTTCCCTTCTGGATGAATGTCAGGTTTTCAACTCTTGTGAGGATGAAATAAGATAATAATACAAAAGCCCCTTGTAAGCGGTTAAGTTCTAGGCATGAGCAACATTTGCATCCGTACAATAGTTCCCACTGGGGAGGTCTAAAGCCCTGTGTTTCGGAGCACGTCCAGAAGCCTGGCCACCTGCTACACTTGGGATCCGGCACTTACTAGTATGTCTCTGTGCCTCAGTTTCTTTATGTGTCAAGCTCCCTCAGAAGGTCGCTGTGTACTCCTTGAATAGTGCCTGGAGCACGGTCAGCAGCCCATGGAGGTGACTCTGGGCACTTTTAGCAGCAGGAAGCAACAATCTTTCTCCCTCACCTGATGTCCTCGAGTCACAGCCTGGCAGCAGGGGCTGGGACACCCTCCCCTGTGGCCCATCCTAAAGCAGGGAGGTGACTGCTTGGGGTACTTGCCCACGGCACAGGCTGCTGGCTAACTAGTTCTCTTTCTCACCAATGGACACCCAGCTTTAGCATCCTCCTAGATAGTAGGGAGACATGAAAATAGATTAGAGTCCTGGAGGGGAAGTCTCTCTGCCGTTTCTGCCCCCAGGCATGGTTCTGTGCACAGATTTTGGGAGTTCTGTGGCAGGGGACACTGTAGTGACCTCGCATCTTGCAAAAGTGGGCAGAAGACTCACCAGAGATGTTGTTGGCCAGGGACAGGCTCTCGCAGTTCTGGTCCTGGAGGGAGGTGGAGACAGGGTTCAGCCCCAGGAGGAGAAGGGCCTGTGGGCACAGGGAGGCAAGGGACACGGTTAGGTGGATGCCATGAGCAGCCTAGTCTGCTGTTTCCTGTCTCTGCCCCCTTCCCCTCCTACATCCAGTTTCTTCCCAGCCCCTGCCCCTAGTCTCCTGGCCCTGCTCACTCGCATCCTCTTGGTCTGGAAGCTCTGGAGCTGCCTGCTTAGAGGGGACCTAGAACAGAGGGTGGTAAGAGGAGCAGCCTGTAGCACAGAGGCTGTGCTGGAGGAAGCCACCTCAATCACCATGGATCCCAAGCACGGCCCAACTATATTCCTGTGCATGTGCACACATGCACGCACCCCCCCCCCAACACACACACACACACATACACATATGCCCTCCCACTTGCCTGCTGCTGCTAGCTTTATGGGCTCACAGACCCTCATTAGCACACCTGTCTGGCTCCAGAGCAGCAGTGCTCCTGACCTCTTGTTTAACGAGCTGCTTCCTGGGCTCTGCTTCCCACCTGGCTTATTACCGGTCACTACAAATTGTGCCTCGCTGTGTATCAGGTCCTTTAACATCTACCATGGCTTAATTATTCCTGGGGCCAGAGCAGCTGTGCCTAACTGCAGATGAGGAAACTGAGGCCAAGCGGGGACGGGATGAACACATCTGAGAGATGGCTGCCCTGTTTGCTCTTTAACCTCCCTTAAGGCTCCATCCCACTCTGATTCCAGAATTTGAGCCTAGCTGGGGACAGGGGGAGTGGCGGGAACCCCTCAACTGGAGGGCTAGCCTCCTTAAATTACCCTCCTACAGAGCTTCCAAGCAGGACGCTGAACCCGGAGACTGCTTTCCTCCTCACCAGCCCTGCTCTGCTCCCCTGCTCTTTCCTCTGGGCCCGTCCCTCTGTCCAGATGTCTCAGCCCCAGCCCATTTCTGCACCTGCTGTGAAATGCACGGCTGAACTCAGGGCCAGACTCTTAGCTCTGGAGCCCACCCTGGGATTCTGCAGCAGGAGCATGAGACGGAGGGTGGAATGCCCTTTGCTAGTCTAGCTAAGGTCAGGGCAGTGGGGCCCTCCCTCAGTGTGCAGCCCTCATGAGTGGCCCCACCTGGACTAGGGTGAAGTGGGTGCAAAATTTAAGGGGTGTCAAAACCCTTAGTAGTCAGGATATGTCATATTTTAATGCACCCAGGGCCTTGTGCATCCCAGGCAAGCAAGCACTCCACCACGAGCTACACCCCAGCCCTAATGCAGTATTTTAAAGAATCGAAATTAATGCAACAACAAAAAAATCCATGATGAACAAAATAAGAAAAATACAGGTTCAGTGACAGTACTGGTTACATTAGAGCTTGGGGCAAAGGGAAAAAAATCAGTAATAATATCATGATATTATTTATGGTGATTACAGAGGCTTTTGGCACCTCCTGCCTTAGCGTGTGCTCTGGAGAATGCCTCCCTCGATGAACCCCTGGCCCCATCACAACTTTCCATCCACCCACTGCCCCACCCACTGCTGCCCAGGCCCCCTTCCCCTGGGCTGCCCTGGCCCTGCTCATCCTCTCTGGACCTCAGGGCCTTCCCTCAGTCCTTAAAAGCAAACTTGAATATCATTTTCTTTCAGTTGCCCATAGTGAGCTGAGTCTGGTTCTAGCTGTGTGTCTGTCTGTCTGTCTTTTTCCAAGGGCCAACTGTCTATGCTCACCAGCCAGGAATGTCCTCCCCACCCCCAGGACCTCTCCACCCTCACAGGCACCCATTCCTTCCCCTTCCTGTCCCCGTGATGACATCAGGCTCTGCAGCCCTCCCTCCCAGGTGTCATGGAGCAGTTCCTCTCCTGGGCAGAGCCTGTCCTCCTGCCACCCCTGCAGGAAGCTCCCCTTGACCCCAATGGTCCGCAGGGTCATGTTGTCCCTTCAATGTCAACCTGAGTCCCTGGTGGGCCTTGTTCACTCCCTCTGTCCTGCACTCTTCCTGCAGCAAGCATTAGGCTCCCAAGCAGCCCCGCCCTGCAGGCCTGCCCTGTGCCTGGCACACTCACTGAATGGCGCTGGAGTCAGCTAACACTTGCTCCTGGGCTTCAACAGAGATGGGGACAAACCCACTCATCTCTATAGCCCAAGGAACTTCCGACACTTTATTAATCAGTAATTCAACTTTGCAGTCTCCAGAGAGGTGAGAAATACCTTTACCCTCACTTTCCCAAGTGGCTCCTTCCCAAGGAAGGAGAGAAACAGAGAGCAGACCGCAGGACAAACCTGCTGGGCTTGCTCAGCATTCGGTGGAGGCCCAGGCTCTGCTCTGTCCCCAGAGGTGAGCAGCCCAGCTGCTATGGCCAGAGGCTTCTTCTAGAAGGGGACCAGGAAATCCTGCCCTCCATGTCTCACCCTCGATGCCACTTCACCTACACACTCAGCCGAGTCGCAGGCAAATCAGAGGAAACTGGAAACACCTCCTGGAAACCAGGCTGGCTGCCCTGTCACACTGCCCTGTCACCCGGCCTCTAGACCCTGCTTCCTGCTCCTGACTTCAGTCCCCCCTTGAAGGCACATCACAATCTATTCCCTGCTAAACACCATGTGTCACTTCCCCTGCACACCAGCCCCTCCTGGGCCTGCAGTTGGTGCCCCCTCCCCAGTTTCTCCTGCCCCTGCCCCTGGTGAGCTGTGCATTCCTCAAAACTCACATACAGGGCCCCTCCCCAGCCTTCCAAAAGCAAAGTGACTCAGTTACCCCTTCATGTGTCCCCAAAGCGCCCTGTACATGCACTGGGCCTTATGCTCAGGGGGCTCACAGATGGAGACCTCAGACTAGCCCTGAAGATAGCTAAACCACCTCGGTATCAAGCACCCAGGGCCCGAGGCTTGAATTAGATGGCATGCTAATGTCCTGGGGTTTACAGAAGAGCAAACAATTCCAGATTCATCCTAAAATCAAATCAAATGCCATAGGGCAAAGGACTCAACTGCCCTTGGCCACCTACAGCCCTGACACTGTCTCCTTCTTGGACATGCAGGTTACCAAGCCATTTCCTGTCCAGTGAGGACCTGTGTTGCATTATGCAAAAGAAAATGCTCCTTAAAATTCCCAGACCAACCGTTCCTCTCTGGAAAGGTCAACTCTGTAGCAGAATCTCTGCCTGCACCTCTACTTGTCCTGAGGAAGTCTTGTGAAGGCTTCTTCCTGAATCACTTCCATGAAGTCCAGTTTTCCTGCCTGTTACCTCCACCATTTGCTGATGACACGGTCCTCTTCAGTGACACTGCCATTTTCTATCCCTATCATCAGGAAACTACTGTGCTGGTGGGAACAGACCCCAAAAGTATTAGGCGCAATGTTTGTTTCCTCATAAAACTGAGAATGGGGCCCTTAATCTGGGGTTCACAAACACAATGAGGGAGGGAATTAAAGCAGAATGGTATGTGCAATAAAACCATTTTCCTGGGGGGGTTCGTCACTTCCTCTACTTCTCAGCAAGGCCCTGCACCCCGAAAAGAGCAAGTACTATGGCTGGAACATATGCTGAACGGGTCCCCCCAGAGGTCCAGGCCTCCACCAAACTGGACATGTCACCCTCTCTTAGCTCAAACTAAGGCCTAAGAACTAATACTTGCTTGGACTCCTCCTTGCTGGCTCCTCCCTTCCACATGAGCCCTAGCTACTAGCTGTGTTTCCAGAATTCCAGAATCACTTTGACAAACCAAGTTTTCAGCACTTCATGAGATTTGCCGTTTTCCAACTAGCAGAGAAACAAAAATGGAACTGAGAATGTGAATCTGGCAGAGCACTAGACCCACTCTCTAGCTGATCCCCACTCTGCACCCCAGCCTGGCAGCCCCAAATGAAACTTCTGTCTTATTTTAAATCTCTCCAAGACTTCTTCTTTTTTTTTTTTTTTAGTACTGGGGATTGAACCCAGGGCATTCTACCACTGAAGTACATCTCCAGCATTCCCTACTTTTAAAATTTTGAGACAGGGTCTCACTAAGTTGCTGAGGCTGGCCTCAAGCATGCAATCCTCCTGCCTTGACCTCCTGAGTTGCTGGGGTTACAGGCTGATGCCATCCTACCCAACCTCACCTCTCCAAATCTTGAAGGTTAAGTCTGAGACAGACAAGGGTCTACTGCAGCTCAAAGACAGCTTCAGCTAAAGTGACTGTCTGAGGTACCATGGGGACCTGACACAGATGCAGCACTGGGCTGCAGAAAGCAGACAGGGTCCTGGGCTCCCTATTTTATAGCTGGACTCGTTGAGGTGCTGAGGGTGACGGGGTTCTGAGCAGCAAGTGAGGACTGGGATCCGGCAACGTGACCCACATTTGAATGGAGCGAGACGGGTGGTGCTCTGGCCTGGCCAGGTCAGCACAAGGCACAGACAGGAGAGCTGCCCTTGGAGGGGGAAGTGGCTCAGGAGCCCAGGAGGGGTGGGTGGTACGGCGGGAGTCTGACAGCTGCCTGCTTCAGCTGCTGCCCACGCCCGCACCCCTACCCCAGGCCACACAGAATCCAAGCTGCCATCCCAATTCCCAGCGTGACTTTGGCATAAAGGTTAATCACACCCGGAAAATGCTTATTAGAGACCATAAATAACTCTGATGCTGAAGCTTAGTTTGGTCTTTAAGGCACAAAAGTGCAATTTTCTTTGATGGGATAATTCAGTGATTAACCTTTTGGGGAGGGTCTTGAAGGGCCACCAGAGGGAGGGAGGGGTGATCTCAAGGCAGCTGAGGCTCCCCCCCTACACACACACACCTTCTAAAAGTGCCCTGAGGAAGAGGGAGAAGGTCCTGCCTTTCCTGCCCTTTCACAGCTAGCTCTGGCAGAACCCCAGGGCCCTCTGGAGCAGGACAGAGCTGGCCGGACAGAATCAGGGCCACAGTGCTAGAGTGACCTCTGCAATTCCTCACCCTCCTGCTGAGTTCTGAGCCCAGTCCCACCACACTACTGTGTGACTTTGGGTGAGTCACCCAGCCCTTGGGACTCCACTTCCTCTTCTGTGAGGCAGGGACAATGGAGTCCCCTCCCCACCTCC